CGGAATGTATATTGCACGTATTTATGCTAAGCCAGACAACTCCCAAATGAATCAATTTCCCACTCATTGTAAAAGTGTAATTAAGCAAATGTGTGGATAGCAAGGATTCGTGTTTTGTCGAGCCAGGCACTAATTATTGCTGTTCATGTCGAAACAGGAATCCGTAATGTTTAATCAAACAGGTGTGAGCGTAAATTAACGATGTCGGCTAGGATAAAAAATTATTATAATTAGATTGACTGCCGGGCATGTGATTTCGTAACATATATATATATATAGGTTATATAAAACCTCTTTTTTTCTTTCCTTAATTCTTTCAGAAAATGTAAACTTCAATATCTATAGTATATGTATCGATGTGGTGGTTCACAAAACATTTCGTAGTAGTCATCACATATATGTGATACATCAAGATAAGATTTTATACTTCTGCGGTATTTTCAATCTACTGTTGATATTGAATTCTTCATACAGTTATGCAGTTATTGACATATGGTTGTAAACCATATTATTTCCGTGTATAATAAATTATTCTCACGAATATCAATAAATTGTTTGCAAAATACAAAAGTAAACTTTTCAATGAAGTTATTTAATGCGATTTTATGATTTGCGTGCTTACTATTGTTTATATTTTCCATCAGTCGCTATTCGAGAACATGCGGCTCCATAGTGAGCATCAGAGTAACAATCGTAAAAATACCAGTCGCCTTTTATTCAGTTGTTTAGCAAAGAAACGTCGTATTGTGAATATGCTGATTATGCGGTATCGCTAGAAATGTATGTGGAAGTATTACATATTTGGTTTGTTATATAAATGATTGTCTAATTTGTTGTCAAATGTTATCCAGTGTAAACAAACGACAGATTGTGATGGGTGCTGATGTATGTGGTATATAATTTATATATAATCCCACTGAAAGTGTTATATTGTATGAATATATTATGCATAGCACGTGCGTATAGTAAAATCTCTATGTCAAATTAAACGTCTCTTAATACAGAATTGTAGAAGCGTTTACATGTTTCTTTGTAACGGTGTTCTTGAGTTCCCTGAAACATTGGTCTTGTTTATTGATTGATTGACCGTTTTTATTTGTTGATGCTAGGTCACAGCAATACATATTACATTAAATTAATTACGTATTACACGTGACTATGGCTGAATACCAATTAATTCGTCAAACATAACATTCCATAATGCAGAAATTACATAAAACGGTGACGTAGCTCAGTCTGCAACATTGAATGTCGCTTAGAACTTAATCATCTGGTACTGGTAGAATACCTTGTCTAAATGTATATTTGATATACATTATTCATTCAATCACAGTCTAATAATTACACAGTCAACATGATTGTAACTGGGTACTGCAGTTTTTATTTACATTTGACAGAGACTAATTCCAAAATTCCATCTCTGTCCAATAATTGTAATATCGAGTATTCCTGTCTAAAGTTATGTCCTGTGTCAAAGTTATCTAATGTTTTGGTTGTCATCTCTCCAAAATAATGATAAGGTACCGTCCTGTCGTCTGGTCCCGTAAGAAAAGGATAAAATCCATATACGCTGATTTTATCACAGAGACAAAAGGCTTCAGCAATTGCGAGCATACCTGCTGTGGGAACGTTTATTTCATTCATATATCTGGAATTAAAAAGACAACAGATGTGACAGGATTTTGGTGAGCTACTTCCTCTTTGGTCAGTGTTTCTAAAACAATTATAACATGCTACATACAGAGTATTACGTGGTTAAAATGCTATGTAATATCAATCGCTTTAAACATGCTACATAAAGAGTATTACGTGGTTGAAATGCTATGTAATATCAATCGCTTTATATTATACACGATGTATTTCTCGTCATATTGTAATGCACTATATAATGCCATCAAATCAAATTGCACATGTGTTTGTAAGGACACCATAAACACAAACGGCTGATCATAACTGCTGAACTTTTAGTCGAAAACTACATCATAATTGTTTGCGTTTACTTACTATTATGTAACATTTGATCTTATAAAAATCACGGTAAATGTTTATGTATTTGTCCAGAGTTAGTCGCATTAATTTGAAGCTGTGAAAAATGGTTGTGAACCAACGTTGAACTGTTCCGAAGTATAAGCAAATGCGATTGCAAAATGGAAAAACGAACACGATGAACATAATCGACAGTTAATACATATACATCCTCCAATTCACACATAATCTGGACACCAGATACCGCACAAAATAGTTCAATAACACTCCATGAACTACTCTAGGGTGAAAATTTAACTAACATAAAAAGATTGCATATTTCCCACGTTGTCATTTTTCCAGACAGCATTAATGTCATATATGTGTACTTGAAATGTTTGTATACTATTTGTTAATATAACTCACCTTTGTATTATTGTACACCACAGTTTGCCTTTCGTATACGCTATCCGGAAATTAAGATTGAACTTTGACATTAGGTAATTGGTTGAATAGAGTAGATTCTGTGTTCCAGCACTTTCAGCAGAACCGCGACTCCAAAGTATCGAATTATTTAAAAATCGAAAATCCTCATAAAGATTAAGGTAATCCTTATTTTGTCTGGCATGTTCAAATAGATCGTGAACCCTACGTGGATTCATGTGGGTAATATTTGTTTTGGTTCCAACATCCCGGCTGTACTTCTCAATTTCAGGGATGTTACAGCGGATGACGAAGTCGTTAGAGTCAATCGCTTCACCACAATTGCTATCGAGAAGAATCCCACTGTTACCAACCACGGCACATGTGTTCTGCTGAGGAATGGGATGCGTTGAGCCATCTTCTTCTTTGACGACAAATGAACTTGACCTCGGAGGAACGTGTCCTAATCGTTTGCTGTAAAACAATAACATGGCAATAATAGAGATTCACCGCTGAAAATCACACAACTTATGATAAAATCCGTCCCGCCCAAAAGTGGCGCTACTGCGATGATAACTGAAATTTAATGTGCCACATATAACCATGCAACATACCTTTTCTCTATTGAAATAGCGTGCGCCTTCTTGTTGACGCCTTGCTCTAGAATAGCATCAGTAGTAGTAGTTCTTGAGTTATGAGCCGGTGATTTTTCCATGATATCGATATTATAAAATAGTACTGAATCGCGTTCCTGTTGCCTATAACATATACATCATATATAATTTAGAGATGCCATATCTTTGTGGTAGTGATAATTATTAGTACCCTTGTACACATAAATGCATCAATCCATTTATGAACATTCCGATGAAAATCGCCGTGTTTTATCGAGAAAGACGTTGGTAATTTACTACATATTTTTCGCATTTTTCGCCAATGTGCAAGACCGCTACTCTAATAATAATATAATCTTAATATACGCAATGATTTGTTCACAATATAAACCACAAAATGATATTAAACTTCATACTTTGACCAATATAAGTTTTGAACATTCTATGATACTTGTATATCACCATATACACATACTTATGAAAAAAAATATCATTACCTCGATGTGAACTGCATGTTGATTTGTCTTTTTTGTCTGGTTCCAATATGGAAGTATGAATGCATAACAATAAAGAGAACTATTAATACTGCAATGAGCGATACGAGAGATCTTCTAATCAGGAACTTCATAACGCGAGTGTAAACGGACTGCATACACTGAATGTAAACTCCACTGCACTGTATCGCAACCAGAGTTCTAGAAAAGAAAGAGCGTCCGCATGTTCTATACGTGTTGACAAGAGAGGTAGCTTTATACAAATGTTGATAATAGTTATAAGCAAAGTGGAATACAGTGCAATTTCCGTTATTAGAACGAGGCATTCTCATTGTTCGATATAAACCGCATTCCCGTTTTCTGGCGCTAATCGACCAGTGCGTGAATCAACAATATATTTTATCAATATCTGTACGAATCGTTTGACAATGTATTTCATCGCGTTAAAACATTCAGTTATTTTTAATTTTGCATGTGCTTGACACGTGGACGTTCTTAGATTATCTGAAGTTGAAGCGTTTTTACTAACGAAACGTTCGATTTATTTTTTCTCCATGTGTATATTATTTTTCCGACTTTTCACTGTCATATAGTTGGAATAAAATATTGAGAAGTCGGCTTACATCATTGACATGAATGCGTCTCCGTTATTATAACCAGATTTTTGTTCTTGACAAAATTGTCAGTGGGTCATTCTTTATGCCCTAATTACACCAAATTTGATCTCTTGTAGTTACTCTAGTGGTTGTCGTGTAAATCTACGATTGTAATGAGACGAGTAAAACACATTAATAAGCCAATTGTGAAATAACGGTCTTCATTCATCGTTTTTTATTTTGGTATTATTAAGCATTGTCGTTTGATGTATTAAAAAAACACAAAAAACATGGCAATATTTTAGTTTGATATAGAGTAGTTCACGGCGTCTGAACACGCACACACGATCCATGTGGGGGGAAATAACTCTTTCTTTTAAAAACGAAAACATATCTCACCAGAAGTCTACAACATTGGAATATTCATTCAGTCAATATTTTCTGGACATTACGAAGGAATTCAAAGCCATCGCCGACAATTGCCGACATTGGATTTATTTGATTGTTGTGTACATGCGTGTTAGAATGAAGTCACTGTGCTAGGGGGTTTTAATATTTAAATTTATCGCTAGTATACGTGTTATGTCAATACATTATTTATTAAATTAAATAAATATTTGCTAACAGAAGAAGAACATGTGATTTTATGCGATATTTTTAATTGTCAGAACTTAGTCTAGTTAGCAAAATAAAGTAAATGTTTGTGACCAGCGTGTTCGTTCAAGGTTGTGCTTTGTTTTAACACAGGCATTTGATATCTGTAGAAAATAATACTTACTACAAAATAAAGCGAACTTTATAAAATAAAAAGCAGTTGTTAATTATTTTCACTCTTATTGATTTTGTAAATATTTAGACAATTACATTAATATATGATTCGTAATTAATAG